CTAGGAACCCATCAGCATCGGTACCTGCTAGCATTGTTGTGCTGTGAGAGGCTGCATTCGGCTTCAGTGACAAATGGCATGGCCCTGCGCCCCATACTCCGTATTCACCCGATCTTGCCCCAAGCAACTTTTTTGTTTCCCTGAATGAAAAAAGGCCTCAAAGTAAAAAACTTTGCCAGTGTGGAAGAGGTAAAACAAAAAATGGCAGAAACACTAAAAGGCATCAAAATGGACGAGTTCAAAAACTGTTTTGAGCGGTGGAAAAGCATTTTGATAGGTGTATTGCATCCAACAGAGAGAACTTTGAAGGTGAGTGACATGTAAACATGTAAGAATACACAATTTTTAATAAGCAAATTTCATTTGGGGGGGTCCTTTCTCATATAGCAGAGAAGGGAACACTTGGGCACATCAGAGGCTTAACACCACCATGCTTTGAGAGCTGCAGGACAAAGTGATGTCCCCAGTATAGGGGTTTAGAGGGGCCACTTGTGTGACCCTGGCAAGGCTGGTGCCCATCTAGCAGACCACCCGAGGTCTACTCACACATGCACCTGACTCCACCCGTGTGACATCCTCTACTAAAGCTATCCCATTGGGGCACTTGGGGAGTGTCTTTGCTGGAAGCCGTGATGTCAAAAGACCACAGCTTATGATGCATTTGGTGTGTTTTGGGATGAAAAGGCATGGCATGGCAAAAACTACATCTAAAAGGGGCAAAAGTTTTCAGTGTCATCATGACTAAGAAATATGATCTGAAAGCATCCATGCAGCAAGCCTGCAAGCACAGGGTCCTGCTACAGCTCCTAGGAGTGGTCAGACCCCCTTGGCATGGACGAAGTAGGTTGGCTGCCAGGGATTCAAGCCCACCCCACAGAGAAGCCTTGAAGACATACAGAGCAGAGGGCCATCTGGGCAAGGCAGAAGTGGCCACCCCTGAACTGCACAGGGTGACAGGGAGCAGGGTGACGGCCAGGCAAAAACGTCCATGGGGTCTGCAAAACCAGTGTCCCCAGCTGAGTTGACAGCCAGCTGCTCCCGTCCCTGCCCACAAGTTCTGTCAAGTTCAATTCCCGGGAACAGGGCCGACCCCTTGGCAAGGCAAGGGGAGTGTCACAAGAGATGACTCCAGGTATCTCCGCACCTCCACGGGATCACTAGGGTGGTGGTTCCACAGGTATTTGTATAAGAGGGAGGAAAGGATCAGCAGGGATGCCTGCCCTGGGCTGAAGGCCTGGTCTGCATTTTCTCAGTCTTGGGTAGAATCCCCCAACATAGGGATCCTTGTCTCTATTACACATGTAGCTCACCTGGCCATGGCCACAGAGCTGTTGAGGGGCAGTGCCTGGATCTCTCCAAGCACATGCACCACTCTGCTCTGTGGCCAAAAACCTCACTTTGTGAAACTCAGACTAATTAAGCAAAATCTGCCTGAGATTTTGAAACCCACAGAAACCCCTCCCTCTGGCCATGTAGCCTATAGGTGGGAGACTCAGCAGCCAGTGTGATGGTCAAGGTTATGATTCTATTCTGGAAAGTTCTCTTCTCCCAGCAGTCACAGATCCCAAGTCCAGTTACTCGGGAACGAGGACATTGTTTTTCCATCAGCCACCTCAGTCTACATGATCAAGGTGTGCCTGCCCCAGGGGTAAGCTAGTTGGTTCCTTGATCCTTACACAGCAGGGCTCTGCACACTGGACTGTGCTGACCCTCCCATGGGCACAGTCTCCAGCCTCTTCTACAGCAAAGGCTCGATAGCAACCAGCCAGAGCCCTGACATAGAGTGAGAGGAGTACGGAGCAGTCCTCTCCCATACCTTCATGTCCAAGGACACCTTACTCCCAGTGGGGTCACAAAGATGCTGCACCTCAGTCCTTGGAGAAGAGGGTTCTGATGTGACTGCATCCATTGACAGGAGAGGGACAGTCGATCAGAAAACCTCTACTTTCCAACAAATGACCAAAACAACCTGAACGGATGAGAAATAACACTCATTTTAATACCTGACTTCTACATATCATTAGCCACATAATATGTACTTTTTGTTTCATGAGTAAAATGTAATGCAAGCTTCCTCCAATGGCCATCCATAGTCCAGAATCACGTCCCTCATGATCTTGTTTCTAAACTTTTAATTCACACATGCAGGTCTAGCTCTTTCCTCCACATGATGAAGCCAAATGGGCCCATCCCACAGTCTAAGTGGAGCCAGGGCCTTTGGTTCACAGCCTTCGCCTCACATGGCCTTTACTGTGTCGTCGCATTGCTTCACCCTCTGACTCACTTTAGCACACTTCAGCCAGGCAGATTGTTTTTCTTCAGTCTCCCTCTGTCTCCTCGACTTTTGGTCTATCTCTCTTTCTGTCTCCCTCCTCTCTCTCCCTCTCTCCCTGTTTGTCCCTCTCTGCCTCTCTTCCTTCCTCCCTCTCTCTTCCCTCCTCCCTCTCTCCCTCTTTATCTCCCCCTACTCCCTCTACACTCTATCTCCCCTCTCCTTTCCTCTCCACCTGCCTTCCCCTCTATCCCTCCCTCCTTCCCTCTCTATCCCCTTCCCTCCCTCTCTCTCCCCCTTTCTCTCCCTCTCACTTACTCTCCTTCCCTCCCTCTCTCCCCCTGCCTCCTCCTCCCTCCCTCTCTTTCCTTCCCATCCTCCCTCTCTCCCTCCCTTCCTCTCCCCTCTGCCTCCCCCTCTTCCCCCCCATGTGTTCTCCCTATGTTTGATTCCACCATAACACTCAGAAATCCCCACACAGGTGGGAAACTGCTGAGGCAGGCAACCCAGAAGCTCCCCTGCAGTGCCCCCACCCCACCCCCCATCCACATTGGGATGTGTCCTTCACCCTTCGGCCCCCTTCCCCCCATTGTTCTCTACCCCTTTCCCCTCAGATTCTGGAGAGAAGTGAATGAGATCAGCACTGCTGTGTTAGGGAGAGGGTCCCCTGTGTCGCTGCTTTTTTGAACCATTTTTCCATCACGTTTGCCAAAATCCCTGACAAGGCTGTTCCCTGTCCAGAATGAGGAGCACCGCAGGGGTGAACTGCTGAATGCTCCTTTCACATACAAGCCTGGTGGCTCAGCAGAAGTCACTCCTGTATGAGAGAGACCAAGCCTTCCTCCGCAGGGACCCTTCAGTCTGCACTCTGTCCAGAATGGGGATGAGAGGACCCCGCACCAAGCCAGGTTTGTTCATGGCACAGGAAGCAAAATGCCAATTCTTCCTCTTCAGATGTTCTCCCTTCCCCCAGTAGAAACCCTGCTGATTCTTCTTAAAAAAGGGAGAGAGATCTGTTGATAGAAAACCTTTTTATAATTTATTTCCTGTTTTTAATCTTTAAAGTATAAAAATGAGGCTCTAGCTAAATGCAGGGTTTCAGTGGTGAAATTTTGACCATGTGAACAATAAATAAATATTTACATTCTTTGGCAAAACACATGAAGTTTTTCATCAACCTATATTAGAAATTTGTTAAAAAAAATAAATAATTTACAAAAAATATGGTACATTCTAAATATTCACATCATCATCCCACACGGCCGCACGGCTAACCCACAACACAGACACAGAAAGCCTACACGCTCATGACGGTGGACACATTTAATGAAGTCTCCTGACCCTGCTCTGGTCTTGGGAACACAGCTCCACACAAAAAAGTAAGAAGTCCACAAAATGAAACTAAGAAGAAAAATCAACCTCAAAGGAAGCAACAAAAATATTTTATCAGCACAAAATGTGTAAATTAAGACAAAAGTTATATATCCTTCCTATTTGACATAGAAATGTGATTACTATGACAGAAAGGGGAGAAAGGTTTGCCCTTTATCAGACAGACAAAGGGCACACCTTTGTTAAGAGGTTCCCTACTAAACCTCTGTTGTGGAGTGGAACGAACTACCATTTCCTGCAGAAAGATCATGCTACTTAAAGCAAAAAAAAAAAAAAAAAAAATCAAACTTGTGTATATGACTGTATGACTGATTACTGGGTGTGTCTAGCAAGACTAAATGCCGATTCATCTTCAGCATTCAAATAAAGATAATTCTACATACAGCAGATAGATAACACTAACAAATATTGAGTTAAAATCACTGACAACACTATATATTAAGGTTCCATTATAAATTCTTCATTATTATTTATGCCTCTATTACTTTTTACAGCATGTTGCACCAGACAACCACACATTAAAAGCTTCATATTTCCCAGGCAGGTCTTTTGCTGTAACTGTATCTTTATGTTATTATATACTTGTCTCATGTTTGTTTCTAGACATTACACAACATACGTGTTACTTGGCATATTTAAAATAAGTTATTGGTGAATGGAGCTGCATTCTATGATCATTTAATAAATATTAACAAAACATTTATAACTGGAACCTTAATGAGATATATTATCCAATCCGATCAAAGCAACCTTTCTACAGTTACCAAAGCCAAGAACAGGATACAGACACCAACGTTGCATTATCTGAGTTGTCTGTCTGCTTGTCTATCCTCCAGTAGCAGAGATTAAGAGACAAGGTCAAGCTAAATTCTGGGGATCAGGATGCAAAATAAAGGCATGGCTGGCCAGGAGTTCTCTCTACGCTGCAGCTCAGAAACCAAGGGACACAAAAGTACTCTGCCCTGTTGGAATTTCCTTAAACAAGGGTGGTCAAATCCACATCTGGAACCACATCACAGCCATTTTGCAAAAATGTTCGTTCTTTGATAAAACTCTGATTCTCCCTGGAATAGAAGGGCTATCGCTGCAGGACAGGAGGAGAACAGGGGAAAGGCTATCACTTTTCTGTATGATTTTTTTCCCTGTTCCAACAAGTAGACTGATGCCTTACATCATTTGATGGGGGCCACCCTCTCACATGACTGCATCTCCTTGCCTCCTCACACGGCATGACTCCACGTTTGAGTTGGCCCTGCTTTGTAACCAGCTAATGGGATTTGTGTATTAGTGCTGGGCAGCTCTGATCCAAGAATAGTGACAACTTTAAGCATCAGGAGTAGTTTAGCAATATTTTTCATGCTTAATTTATGATGATGTCTTATGAACAATATTCCCTTCAACTCCATATACACATAAATACAATAAGTAATTACATTTCATATGTAAACGTCATTCTTTTTAAACAAACAAGAAAAAGCAAGGCGATGTCATGCCTGATGTTCCCTCCACAGAAAGTCTCACACATCATCACACTGGTTCCTCTAGCAGGTCAGACGTTCATCTTAGGATTCTATTGATATTTCTCCTCTGAAGGCACTTGGGTTTGGGGTTGATGACAGGAGGTGAAGAACCATGAGAGTTAAGGTCAAGGGACAAGAGGTGCTGCTGAAGAGAGAAGCTGCAAGGACCACGATGAACTGAGAAGTCTCAGGACCACAGCATGTACAAGGCATAGTTGTAATGCAGAAGATCTCACTTAGACATCTAAAGAAAGGCAACAGACAGAATTAGGAGGACTGGATCAGAAGTTTTGTTTTACCTGTAACTTAAAATCCCATTATTTTAGTTTAAAATGACATCTACAGTAGGGATGGATGGATGAATGGATGGATGGATGAATAGGTGGATAGATGAATAGGTGGATGGATGAATAGTGGGTGGGTGGATGGATGGATGGATGGATGGACAGATGGATGGATGAGTGGATGGATGTGTAGGTGGGTGGGTGAATGAGATAGATGGGTGAGTGAATGATGAATGGGTGGCTGGGTAGATGGATGGACAGGTGCTTGAGTGGATGAATGAATGTATGGATGGAGTGGAAGATTGAAGGGATGGGTGGATGGATAAATAGATAGAAGGGTGGGTAGATGGATGAATGGATAGATGGGTGGATGTGTGGGTGGATGGGTAGGTGTGTGGGTGGGTGAATGGATGAATGGACAGGTGGATGTATGGCTGGACAGGTGGATGGATGGGTGGATCAGTAGATAGATGAATGGATGGATGAGTGATGGGTAAATGGATGGATGGATGAATGGGTGGGTGGGTGGGGTAATGGATGGATGGATGAATGGGTGAGTGGGTGAGTGGGGGGGTGGATGGATGGATGGATGGATGGGTGGATGGTGGATAGATGCATTGATAGATGGATGGATGGACGGATGGATGATTGAATGAATGGGCAGAGTGGATAGATGGAGGATGGGTGCATAGGTGAACAGGTGGGTGGGTAGATGATTAGACAGGTGGGTGAGTGTATTGATGAATGGGTGTGTGGGTGGATGGGTGGGAGGGTGGATGGGTAGGTGGGTGGGTGGATGGGTGGATGGATGGATAGATGGGTGAATGTGTGGGTGGATGGATGGATGTGAGTTGGTGGATGGATGGATGGATAGGTGAATGAATGGACAGGTGGATGGATGGGTAGATAAATGAATAGATAGGTGGATGAATGGATGATGGATAAACAGATGGATGAATAGGTGGGTGGATGGACAGATGGATGGATAGATGCGTGGGTGGGTAGGAGAGTGGATAGGTGGGTGGTGGATAGATGGATGGATAGATGGATAGATAGGTGGGTGGATGAATGAATGGATGGATGGATGGATGGATAGGTAGGTGGGTGAATAGGTGGATGGGTGGGTGGGTGGATGGATGGATGGATGGATGAATAGGTGGATGGAAGGATAGATATGTAGATGAATGGATGGATGGATAGGTGGATGGAAGGATGAATGGGTGAATGGATGGATGGATAAGGAGGGAGGGAGGGAGGGATGGATGAACGGATGGACAGATGGATGGATGGATGAATGGACAGATGGACAGATGGATGGATGGATGGATGGATAGGGGGAAGGCTGAATGGATGGATGGTTGGATGGATGATCAAACGGAAGGACAGACAGACGGATGAATGAATGTATAGATGGATGGACAGGCAGACAGATGGATGGGCTGATGGGTGAATGGATAGGTGGATGGAAGGATGGCTGTGTGGATGGATGGATGGATGGATGGATGGATGGATGGATGGATGGATGGATGGATGAATGGATTTATGGATGAGAGGGTGGGTGAGTATGTAAATGAATGGATGGGTGGGTGGGTGAGTATGTAAATGGATGGATGGGTGGGTGGGTGGATGGATGGATGGGTGGATGGATGAATGGATGGTGGGTGGATGGATAGATGGATGGATGGGTGGATGGGTGGGTGTGTGGATGGATGGATGGGTGGGTGGATGGATAGATGGATGGATGGGTGGATAAATGGATGGGTGGATGAGATGGATGGGTGAATGGAAAGATGGATAGATGGGAAGGTAAATGGAAGGAATATATTTAATATATTAAATGTCTCAAAAGGCAACATAACATAAAGAAAACTTCACCAGAAGCAAGCAGAAAATCAAAGTTTTTGTCTTTCTTTCTTCTCTTTTCTTCACATGTGATATTTCAATGTGTGATTTTTGAGAAGCATCTGTGAACTTTCCTTACCTCATCTGTAGAAGAGGGATATTTTCATGCCCATCTCAAGGGATGGTAACTAAAGACAGACTTTCCTTCCTTCCTTCCTTCCTTCCTTCCTTCCTTCCTTCCTTCCTTCCTTCCATTTTTCAATTTTTGGTAAGGATAGCAATCTAAAATATCTTTAGGAGCCCAGAAGGAATAGAAAACCTAGGACACTCTAGGCTATAGTAAAATGGGTTGTGGTAGAGCCTGTGGATAACCAGAAAGTGTGTGTCCTACCAGAGGCACCCAAGTGCAATTTAAAACAAATAGCAACCTAATCTGACCAAACAAACCTCTGCTTGGAATGAGTAGACGCCCTCATGTGTGTTATTCTATGTTTCCTCATTGGGTTTATTGCCCTCATTCATGGCTTTTGTCAAAGGAAGTAAAATGTGTGTTCTTTTCCCATTCTGCCTGCCATAAGCCCTGTCCTGGAATCCTCTCACTCACCTCTGCATTCGTACTTGAGGTCCGAGAAATAGACCATTTCTTGAGAGAAAACAAACAGGCCCAGTCGCCCACCAGCGTAGGTTTGGTCATAGATAGGTCCTGAGTCTGCCATGACCTGTTTTCCTTCATGCACTAAAACTCTAAAAATAGTTATAGAAAAAATAAAGACAAATACATCATAAATACATAAATAAGAGAGAGAACATAAGCTCTGGGATCACGTTCACCAGAGGCTGGCAGTGGGCTCCATCCCCAGTGGTGGACATGGGGCCCTGGCCCTCTGCTCTGGCACCAGTCCTGCAGCACCAATCCGAAGCACGCCTTCCTCCTCATAACTCATACCATTGCCACAGCTGGTGAGTTCACTTACAGTCCCCAGGCAAGGGTTTTAGAGTAGGCTCCACCTTCAGAGCCAAAGAACACAAGGGGAGGGGTGGACGAGGGGTGTTTCCTGTGTACCCTCTGGGGGAGTCAGGCCACCTTTCCACTTCCTGGGAACCAGTGCCAGGTTCTCCCCACTCCACACTGCATTACAACCATGAGCTCACAACTCTGCTCCCCTCACTATGAGATTTGCATGGGGGCAGTGGCAGCTCTGCCCTCCCTGCCCTGAGAAGAGCTAGGTGCCTAAAACCCCCGACGTGGGAAAGGGATCACAAATGAATTAATGGGATTCTCCACACAGACATCGCAGCCACGCAGCCAGCCTGCTCCTCACCCACCCAGATCTACGTCCTCAAGTCAAGGACATGTACAATCCCGGCACCTGAAAAATTCCAGCCAGATCTTGGTTCTTGCTAACTTTACAAAACAAACCTAATTCCTAAGTTGTCCACATTCTGTTTTAATCAAAATCAGTTACAAATACTGTTAAGCCAAGGGAACAAAATGCTGTTGACTGATAGTGTGAAAGTTTTACTCAAATATGTGTTTTAAATTCAGCCATGTACAATGTCAGAATTAGACATGAACCTGTTCTCCAAGTGAAGCACATGCTAATTTTGCAAAGATACAGTTGTTTTTACTGCACTTTCTCTCTCATGCCTTGGGTACTAATTAGGAGAGGAGATGTCTATCATTCTCCAAGTTATTTTAAAAACAAGGCAAATTTTATTTTCTCCTTTTCAATGGGTTTTTTTTTTGATAAGTAATATATAGTAGAAAAAAGAGAAGGCATTTAAAGTTGGAGAACCCATGGGAAAAAATAGAATTCCCTTGGGCTTATTTCCAATCAATGTTCAGGCTGCATCTAACGGGAAGTCCCCTGGAAGATGTGCCCCTGGCAGCCTCACCTGATGTAACCCGTCTTGGGCCTGTGAGTCAGGTGCCACCGATAGGCCGTGTAGTCCTTCCAACCCACGTTCTTGGGGTCATGCCACAAGGTCCGCACCTGTGAAAAAGCACCACCCTTGAGTGCCATTGGCCTTGGGATCTCAGTTCCATAACACAAAGTGGGAAACAAAAGCACGACTTCGCAAATTAGCCCTTAAGGCTCGTGTTGCTGCCTCTCCCTCTCACACGTCTGTAGTGCCAATCTCCAGTGTGAATCAAATTCCTTGAATGGGAGCAGTGCAGTTCAGTTCTACGAGCACAGGCTCCTGACCCAGAGACTCCTGTGTTCATTTCTGAATCTTCTGCTTCCTTGATTTGGGTGGGACTTTGGGCAAAACTTTTTGATACTCCATTCTCCCTATCTCTAAAAGAGGGTAAATATATATTTAATTTGCAAAAGGTTTAACAATGGAGTTTATAAAAGTATCTGGCCTGGTGTCATTAGTCAATATAAGATTATTCAAATGATGGTGACTTGAGCTAAAATTAATAAAAACAAAAGTGGGGCATCTTTGGGGTGGCTAGGCCTGTCCTCCTGAAACACCAGAGCACAAAGAACACCAGAATGTGACTCGGTGACCATGGAGCCGTGTCCCCAACATGTCCTCACCTGCCCCTGCGTGTTTCCAGTGTGCCACAGCGCATTCCGCAGGTGCTCACCAGTGCCCGTGGTGGAATTCACCACCTTGAGGGACACACCCGAGTAGCCATAAGCCCGAGTGGGCTGGTCTTCCCAGTAGGTCTGAGTGACCTGCTTCCACATCACCACGTAGAAGCGGCTGCTCGACTGGTAGCCAAAGACAAAGCCTGCATAGTCATCATCCCGGTCAGTGTTGACATAAAACGTGCCACTGAAGTCCACAGACCCGAACTCGTCAAAACCTGCACAGAGTCGGAAGGCTGCATTAGAAACATGCTCGAAAAGAACTCCAGCTTGGCCCCACAACACTGGACAGCACATATGGAGGGTGGGCCCTCCCCTCCCTCCCCTCCCTCCTCTTCCTTCCACTAGGTTCTTCACCATGAGATTGATGAATTTAAGGGATATTTTTAGATCCAACTGAGAGCATTATGACAGAGTTTTTATCGTATGGTGCATGCAGTACTTTATAGACCAAAACCATACAAATTGTTTACTGACATTTCAATGACTTTGAGGGACAGATTCTTGCTTCCCCAAGTGTACCCATCAAGATGATTTAAGCAGACAGACGGGGGCATCCAAAAAGACCACCCTGCACCCCATCTACCAGGTCATAAAGAGAGAGCTATATCCTCTGTGGGCGTTGCCCCCACCCCCAGAATGCTGGCATCACAGGGCGTCTAGGAGGCTCACCTACAGCGATGCCAGGATCCGAGTTGGCCGTCTGCACCAACTCCTTGCCTTGGTGGCGAATGACCCAGTTGGGATCGATTTGGGTGGTCCCTTTGGGGTCCAAGGGGACCATCTGGAAGTTCCTGAAGTCGGTCTCGCTGATAGCATTGTTTTCAGGGCACACATCATCAATATCCGGGACGTTGTCATTGTCAAAATCATCTTTGCAAATATCACCCCTCCCATCACCTGTTCACAAAGAACAAGCATGAAAACAGAGAAGCAGCATGTGGCTGCGTTTGCTTTTCTGTCTGCAGAGGGCATGCATATCCACGATGAAGTGCCTTGTGGGGGGTTTTGGTTTACACTCTGCCATCTTCACAACATTGAATGCTCTTTTCACAACATTCTTGTGATAGACATTGCAGCCAAGGAGAGGAGAGAAAAAATTCCACAAGAGTCTTTTCTCACGTGGTTCTGAGCTCAGAGCTGGGGCATGAATAGCAAGACGAATTTCCAACTTTTTAAAAATAGTTTTCTGAACTTCTATCATTACTTGTCTTAATCATCTTTGCCTTTCGAAATCTGTTTGGCATTTAAAGAAGAACTCTCACACTAAGTGATTTTCCCTAGGGAGTCATGGACTTCCGTCATCTGGAGGCTTCTTGTCTGACATTTCCAAGAGGTTATGGAGGGTGGAGAGTGGTCAGGGGAGGGGGTGTGTGCATCCCTAGTGCAGACAGGGAGGTGACCATATGCTCATCACAGGTGCCCAGCCTGTCCAATCTACTGTGCTAGTGACAGAGATGACAGGCAGAAGACAATGTCTGTGTTAGTTTATTTTACTGCCTACTGTTATAGAAGGAGAAATAGATATGGAGTTGGATCAAATACTTTGAATATCCTGTCCCATCCCCATTCTCTAGGCTAGTTTTTTGTGATAACACACTCCAGCTACTGTGTGGCTGGCACATAGTCATATAAAGATGTTTTAAAATGTGAACACATTCTTTTGTGTGTCAGCAACCCCCGTCCACCGGCCTGCCCCCCACGGAGGAATTAGGGGGCTACACCCCTGTTCTTCCATCAGACTAAGCCTCCCGTTTGCTCCCAGGATTGCTTGGTGCTGCTCAGGGGTTCCCAGGAGCTGCCTCCCATCCCAGTGCCCCCCAAGTGCTTCTGAGTCATGTTGGCTCCTTGTCCTCACTTGCTGAGGATACATGTCTTGCTGAGAGCACCTACCTGCCAGGACCCACCCCATAGACACCGTCTCAGCCTGCGTGGGGAGCCATGGCTCAGCTGTGCTCCTTCTCATCATTTGGAGATGCTGGCACAGGGGACTTCAGCCATCTGTGGGTTTGCATCCCAGACCCTACTGGGCTGCAGTCCAAGCCAGTCACTGGGCAAAGCAGCTTCCTCCCGAACACTTCACGCTTTGGCCATTTTTGTTTGCTTTGCCCTTAAGAAACAAATCCTCCATCCCCTGCTGGCCTCATACACTGAATCCCTGATTTGTCCAGTGTTTATAGCCAGCATCTCTCTGTAATTGATCATCAAAGTTTTAAAAGCCACAGAGATGCCAAGGCTTCTCCTCACCCCAGACCTACACTCAGGCCAACCACGTGTGGATGACCTCAGAGCCACAGCCACCCAAACCAAGCAGGGCAGGCAGAAGGAAATGCGTATTCCACAGGCCCAGCACCGTGAATGTCCAAAGGACCTGCACTTCTCCCACCAGGAGCCTTGAGATGACGTCCAAATGTGTGTGCTCTGCCCCACGGGACTCTCACACAGCTCCCACATGCATGTGAAAGAGGCATCACCTACCATCGGAGTCCTCCTGGTCTGGGTTGAAAACCAGCCGGCAGTTGTCCCTGTCGTCGGGGATGCCGTCATTGTCATCATCAGCGTCACAGGCGTCACCCTTGCCGTCATTGTCGTGGTCAGCCTGGTTGGCATTGGAGATGTAGGGGCAGTTGTCCTGGTTGTTCTGGTGGCCGTCTTCATCAATATCCTCGTTGTTGTCACACTGGTCTCCGACCAAGTCATTGTCCACATCAGTCTGGGAGATCGGACGTGAGGAAACAGCACAGGGTCAGCGATGTGAGGAGGCAGAGAAGACACACAGAACGTGAGGTGGAAAGTCAACTTTCTCATCCTACAGCAGAAGTGGCTGGGGCCACGGAGAGGGACCTGCCTGCCTGAGGCCACTCCCCTACCTACAGCAGGACCAGGACTGGAGTTCAGGAACATGGTCCAGGGAACTCTCTATTCTGGACTGCAGGGATCCACTGTACCCAGGGAAGACCTTCATCTCTTCACTAGAAAACAATTAGCTCCCACATAATTAAATGTCTTTTCACAATATTTGCTGGATATATTCCTGGGTTACTTCAATATATTCTGTCCTCCCTGTCTCGCCCAGAATCAAACCTGGACCAGAAGCCAAATCCTGTGTTTGTCTCAGGGAAACATGGAGAGGGCCACAGCAGAGACACAGATGGTGAGATGGAGGCATCACACATCTGAGACATGGGTTCATACCTGGATTTGAGAGCTGACGGAAACATCAAAGGTGCGTGTGTGTGCAGCTGAGGACCTGAGACTGTCTGCCCACATGTCTCCAACAAAGGGGTCCCTGAGAGTTCCTCAGGCCCATCTGTCCATGAAGTATCCCCACCCAAGTGGGCCCCTGAAAGGACCTCAGACCCACCTGCTCATGGCATGCCCTCACCTGGTCAGGATTGTGCACCAAGGGGCAGTTGTCGCAGTGGTCTCCCACACCGTCGCCGTCAGTGTCCCTCTGGTCAGTGTTGTAGACGTAGGGACAATTGTCTCGTTCATTGAAAACATCTGTTGGTGTTCACAGAGAAAGAATAGAAGATGCTGAGTGTATTAAAAAGCTCACTGCTTTTCCTATCACATTAAATCACTTACAGCCAGACTTTACTCAATAACAATAATAAGAGACCCAGGAATCTGGTAAAATGGAAAGACTATTAGATTTATGAAAGAAATTATGGTGTACATCTCATTAAAATGAAAACCCCTCAGATGACAAAAGAGCCAGCTCGTGGAGATTTCTGGGCAACACCACACGAGGAGGAGCAAGCACATGGCCACAGCACATTTCCAAGTTTAGTGATCACTTATCCCCTCTAACATTCACTTGGAAAACGTGCATTGAGATCCTGGGAATGGACATCCATGCAGCAGTAGGAAAGTAACAACGGCAGAGATGACAGGGTTTCCAGATGCAATACCTTATTTCAAGATACCTGAAAGTAGACCGTGAATTTCACTGATATTGGAACTGTGAAAAATAGGAATTAGCAGTGGACTAAAAAACAGCACCAGTAACAGATACAAATGAGAAAGCAAGGCATCACAAGTCAGGGAGGCCTCAAGAGGAGCCAGAACTGGGCTGAGAAGCTCACCCTGCCTGGGCTGGGGGTGCCTGAGGAGGAAGAGGGTTCAGACTCCCTAAAAGCAAAGGGCCCAGACCTATGATGTGGGAGTCAGCAGGCCACAAATGCCCCATCACCAGGAGCGTGAGGTGCCTCCTATGGTCACTAAGCCTCGAGTGGGCAGCTAGACCCTGATCTATCCGGGGGACACCGTGGAGGCAGAAGTTGCCTGAAAATATACAGGAACTCACCATGAGACAGAGTTGCAGGAGAGAGAATCAGAGGGGAAGGCTGACGCAGGGCTGAGGAAGGAGGTTGCATGCACACAGGTGGGGGCTGAGGTGGAGCATAGGCATGGATGTGTGCTTGCCTCAAGCATGGACAAGTGCTTGTCTCAAGCCCCAAGGATGGACATGCCATTAACATGAGCATGGATGTGCGCTTACCCCAAGTGTGGGCATGCCCTCGCCCAGAGATGGCTCTGGGGCCACAGAAATGCTCGCCAGACTTCCTTACACCCTGACAAGGCATGACTGAGTATGACGGTTGTGGGACTCATTCACTTAGGCCAACGGGACCTCAGGGTAAAGTGTCAGCCTGCAGTGGTGTCAGGCATGACCACAATAGGCCCACATCGTCCCAACAGACTGGGGTAGCTGGGAGTCTGTGGGATGAGGTTTCCCATGAGTGTTTAGAAGTAAGAATGCAGAAGCAGACTTCCTGGGGTAGACACACAGAGAATCATGGCTCTCAGAAGCACAGTCTGTGGGGGAGACAGGCCTGGTTTCCTGGAAAAGCTGAGAGAAGGGTGAACATTAGAGAAGATGTCACAGAGAGGCCTAAGGGCACAGGACTGCAGGCTGGGGCTCGGGAAGGGAGAATGTTAGACCAGTAATTTCCTAAAGAGTGGACCTGAGGATGGAGACCCCAACCCACAGGAAAAGACAAGGCCAAGGAAGGGCCCCTCTGGGACCAGCTTGATTTGTTTTTGCTGGATTTGTTGTTTTTTTAAGCAAGGCAGACAACAACAAGCAGTGCCTCCTCTGGATGTGTCTGGAGTCTCAAAGCCCCACTCCCCTGCATCTTCCTACCAAGGGATTCTGAGACTTGCTGGAGGTCAGCAGGGAGCACAGCACCCGTACCCCCTTGACCAGAGGGCCGTCCTCCTCCACCAGGGAAGGTCCTCCTCTTCCACTGAGCTCACAGCTTCAGAAGGGATGCATGAGGAACCGGGAGGGAGGAAGAGGACACCACCCAGCAGCCAGAGCAGCAAGTCAGCTCTGGCAGGCAGTGGGGTGACAGATGTCACAGCCTTGGTGATCAGCAAGGTGATAGACACCACAGCTTTGGCAATTAGCAAGGTGACAGATGTCACTGCCCTGGCAATCAGCAAGGTGACAGATGCCAAAGTCTTGGTGATCAGCAGGTGACAGATGTCACAGCCTTGGTGATCAGCATGGTGATAGATGGCACAGGCTTGGTGATCAGCGAGGTGACAGATGTCACAACTTTGGCAACCAGCAAGGTGACAGATGTCACAGCCCTGGTAACTAGCAAGGTGACAGATGGCACAGCCCTGGTAACTAACAAGGTGACAGATGGCACATCATTGGTGATTAGTGAGGTGACAGATGTCACAGTCCTGGCAATCAGCAAAGTGACAGATGGCACAGGCCTGGGATCAGCAAGGTGAGGGATGTCACGGCCTTGGCAATCAGTAAAGTGACAGATGTCACAGCCTTGGTGATCAGTGAAGTACAGATGTCACATCCCTAGCAATCAGTGAAGTGACAGATTTCACAGCCTTGGCAATCAGTGAGGTGACAGATGTCACAGCCTTGGCAATCAGCAAAGTGACAGATGTCACTACCCTAGAAAGCAGCAAGGTGACAGATGTTACAACCTTAGCAATCAGCAAGGTGACACATGTCACAGCCTTGGCAATCAGCGTGGTAACATGTTACCAGCTTTTTGAATCATTTAATCTCATCCTCATATAAAGATGAAATGGAGCCTATCATAAATCCAGAATAAGATACGGAGCTTGCCCGGACTTCTCCCGGTGAGCCTGGACAAGCACCCACTGAAGCGAGTAGAACTGACCATCCCCATCGATGTCCACGGAGCAGGCATCTCCCTCCCCATTGTTGTCGGTGTCAATCTGTGCAGGGTTGTGAACATAAGGGCAGTTGTCGCAACGGTCCCCAACCTCATCTTTGTCATAGTCAAACTGGCGGGGGTTGAAGAGGAGCTGGCAGTTGTCCTAGGAAAAAAGGAAGGAAGAGTTTAAGAAAGATCATGGGAATGTGGGTTGAGCTGCCTGTAAACTGGTTTAGCCCTTAAAAGCCAGGTACTCAAGGTCAAACTGATCAACACAGCAATAAAGCAAACCACAAGCTAGCTAGCCCTAGCCAACACTTTCTCAATATCAGGTCACTTTATAATTATGTGTGCATCTGTCTTCTGCTAAAAATGTGGAGCTGTTCTAAGGCAAAGATGGTGCACCATATACTATACGTAAATGTCAAATGAATGAATTTGCCAGTGAGTCAACGAATCAATGAAAGACAGATGTGAGAAAGCAGTAAATAAAAATTGAGGTAGTCTATCCTTGCTAGTGTTTCCTATACTGATACTTTAAGTCATGTGTGTTTGTAGTTTTCTCAGAAAATGATAGATTTTAAATATTGCCATAAAAGCAAGGATCTCACTCCTGGTGGTGGCAGCCTCACCCATCACTGGCTCCTCACAGAGGAAAAAGAGAAGAGAAGCTCTTTCCATGTCATTGGAAGTAACTAGAGCTATTCAAAGCGGATGGAGTCATTCAAAGTAGATGCCCTTTCAAATCACCCCTGGCAGAGCCCCTGGACAGCTCCATGCACATCCATCTGCTTTTGTAAATGATCGGCTTTGTCAGTGAACCTGAGAACCTCTTATGCACACACACTCATGGAGGTGGCAGCGCTTCCATCCTCAGCCTGCTTGTGCTCCTTCTGACCCTGTTCCTGCAGCCGTGAGCAGGCCTCTGTGCACAGTCTGCACCTACCTTCTCATCATTTACTCCGTCATTGTCATCGTCATCATCACACGCATCACCAATTCCATCCTTGTCAAAATCTTCCTGTCCAGAATTAGGCAGATGGGGGCAGTTATCCTGTAATCGAGAAAGAAGAATCAGGGTACATCCTCCTCTTTTCGGGGTGAGGGTAAAATCAGTGAGGACAGCCCTTCGGACAAGAATGCCAGACCAGAGGTAGCAGAGTCGGAGACTGCCCAGCCGCAGAGACACACGCTTTATCCTCAAGTCCTGCCCTAGAAATTACATCACCACCACCACCAGTGGGTAAGACCATGAAACTCGCGACCGGAGCCCAGAACCCCAGCAGAGTTGCCAGAAAACTGCAGAAACGGGAAAGGATGCGGAACCCTCACTACCTGAAAACACAGGACCAGCCAGAGGCTCCCGAGTCCCTCTCCTCCCACCAGTGTAGCTCATGCAGGAAGAAGCCAGTGCAGGTGAACGTTTCACCCTCTCTGGCCACACAGCCTCCAGGACAGGGCCTTCTGAGGGGTGTGCTGCACTCAGAACCAAGAGTTGGAACTTGGAATTATCTGGGAACCAGTCCTTCCCAGTGAGTGAATGACACATGTGACCGGCAACAGTGCCACTGTGTTTTGGTACAATTACACTCCAGCTCAAGCCTGAGCTGCACAGACTCCAACAGCTGGGGAAGTAGAGGCAGCAGGAGAGGGCAGGGACAGAGTCTGCTGATCCATGAACATATGCCCACCTGACTCCACATGGACCATCGGTGGATTCAGAGGACGGCCCATAGGACCACTCCCTGGAGGCCAGAGTGCCAGCACTAATTGACAGAGAAGCAAGAGCAGGCTCACGGTCAGTAGTGCTCCAGGAAGAAAGAGCCGCACCTGCACTTCAGGGGGACGAAAGAAGTGGGGCCTCCTGGCAAGCCTTCATTAACGCCTTCTGTCCTCAGAACTTAGGTTGCACATCTGGGCATTGTGATGTGCCATTTTTGAAGTTACTAAATTCCTGTTTGAAATTCCCCACAAGTGAGAAAAGCAATCAGGGTAAGCTCACAGCCGCTCTGACTTAACCACTCCTGAGTGCAGATCAGGGACTAGGGGAAATTGCGGGGGAGGGGGGCAGGCTGGAGCTAGGGCCTCATTTAGTTCAGAGCACATTCATCTTCCTTTCAGTCAATATGTGCCATCATTAATCAAAAGAGACTGAAAGAGAAAATTAAAACTAAAACTCTAGTGTACAAAATTCACAGGAATAATAAGTACTAAGTACATGAATGTATTTAAGCTTTCATATGATGCTTTATAAGTCTGTAGCATTTACACTTCTGAGGATCTTAAGGCATAAAACTGCAGTAACACATTTGGGACACCCTGTGTAGTGAACTGAATAGTGGCCCCAAAACATGCGTCTACATCCTAATCTCTGGAGCCTGTTTCATCTCATATGGCAAAAGTGAATTTCATCACTTTGTTAGGCAAAAGTGAATTTAATCACCTTGTTAGGCAAAAGTGAATTTAATCATCTTGTTAGGCAATAGTGAATTTCATCACCTTGTAAAGCAAAAGTGAATTTCATCACCTTGTAAGGCGAAAGTGAATTTCATCATCTTGTAAGGTAAAAGTGAATTTTATCACCTTGTATGGAAAAGTGAATTTTATCACCTTGTAAGGCAAAAGTGAATCTCATCACCTTATAAGGCAAAAGTGAATTTTATCCCCTTATAAGGCAAAGGTGAATTTGGCAAAAGTGAACTTTATTACCTTATAAGGCAAAAGGGAATTTCACTCTATATGGTGAAAGATGCTATGAAGTCAAGGATCTTAAAAGGAGGTGATTAGCCTGGACAATCAGGTAGGCCCCAAATACAGCTACATGTGTCCTCATAAGAGAGACAGAGGGAGTTTGGGGACAGAAATGTGTTGGGGAAAGTGATGTGGGGATGGGGCAGGGAGTGGAGTGATGCAGCCACTGGCCCAGGGGACCAGGCACACCTTGGTTTTGTGCACTTCCACCAGGACCATGAGAACACAATTGGTTTTGTGCACTTCCACCAGGACCATGAGAACACAATTTCTGCCCGGGCTGTGGAGACCCATTCCAGAGTCTAGGAAAGCAGCTGCCTGCTGGGGTCCTGAAGGTGGCCCTCTCCCTGGCGGTTGAGGGCTTCCTTACACTGTAGCTCAAGGAGATATGACTGACCCTTCTAAGTTACTAGCCTGCCCCCCCCATGTGAATCACACTGGCCTCTCCACAGCCTGGAGCTACACACATTGCAGCTGTCTTTCCACTTCCCTTCATGGTTTTAAGTCTCCCTATGTATGCAGTCATCAAATGTCAGCTTGTCAGCTAAGACACACAGTTTTTTCCCTGTTCTCAGCAGCGGGCAGGGTGAAAGTATGGCTGCTTTAACACCAATCCCCAGAACATAGCGGATGAATGGGTCTGGGCTCAACCTGATGGCTATGGCCCTTTAGGAAAGACACCCAAGGGACACTCCCTCCGTCCTCACACACATGGACAGCATGCATGGCCCTAGCACGTTACCAGCTCAAAACAGAAAAGTCAAAGGAGCATGGGAAGAGACTGGAAGATTTGGGGTTTCTAATTATTTAGACCAACATGCCACTTCCACATTTGGCCACGGTCCTCTCCCTGATGCAATGTTCCACGCCCCACCAAGGACTGACCACCAGAGCCCCACACACCACCCTCACCTTGACACAGTGATAGGTGGCATTGGTGGCGCACACCAGGTTGAGGTTGGGCCAGCCATCCAGGTCCGAATCCTCTCCACAGATGAGCCCGTCGCCCGCATAGCCTGTTTGGCACTCACACTTGTACATGGGGTCGCTGAAGTGGCCCAGATAGATGCACTCTGCATGCCTGTGGCAGTTGTGTGTCTTGTCCCTGCATGGGTTCTCAGGCTCACACACCTGCGGACCAAGCCATGTAGTCAAGACAGGTAGGGGAGGCACAAGGAGAGCCAGAGTGGCAGGCAGGCAGGGAGAACCACAGCAGGGCCATCTCCAGGGACACAAGTCTAGAACTAGGGACCCCGCTCTTTCTGGACGAGAGCTTGAGGATGCTCATTATTCCTCAAGCGATGCAAACAGTGTCTCTGCACCACCTGCGGTCCTCGTGGGATGACACTGATATACTAGAAAGTATCACCTGACCCTCTGTGTGAAAACCCAGGCCTGAACCCTCCCCATGCTGACAGTGTGAGACCACTGGTTTCCCAGGTGAGCCCTCCTGCATCCCTGCCACAATGTGCCTGCCCCTCCTCTTCTCTCTCCAGTATACCTTATGTTTCCAGGCCTGAAGTTCTGTGGAAGGTGACTTCACATACCTGCTTCTCTGTCCTGGCTGCCTCCAGGCCAGCCCCACTGGGCTGGCTACCTCGGTAGCGTGGTGGGCAGGGCAAGCAGTGGAAGCCGGGCTGGGTATTGATGCAGCGGGGTGCCTTGCCGGTGGAGAAGCAGACGTCGGGGACCACAGCACACTGCAAGCACAAGCAGATATGAGCACTGTTCCCAGCCCTCATAGTCCCTACTGCCCGGGGTTGGAGGGACACCCACCTCATCCAGGTCCTCACAGTGGGTACCGTTGCCCAGAAAGCCCACAGGACAGGAGCCACATGACCAGGACCCATCAGGGAAGCTGCTGCACTCAGCACCGGAAAAGCAGGGATTGGACAGACACCCATCTGGACAGGAGAAGAGAAATTACTGAGAACTCACACATGGGAGTCAACCCAGGGTCACACAGGGTATACCAACCCAAGAGGTTACACAGGGGAGTCAACCCCAAAGTCACACAGGAGAGTCAACCCAAGGTCACACAGGGGAGTCAACCGTGAGGTCACACAAGAGAGTCCACCTGAATTCACACAAGAGAGTTCATCCGAGGTCATACAAGAGAGTCCACCCAAGATCATACAAGAGTCAACCTCACAGTCACACAAGAGAGTCCACCCAAGGTCACACAAGAGAGTTGACCATGAGGTCGCACAGGAGAGTCGACCCTAAGGTCACACAGGGGAGTCAACCCTGAGGTCACACAAGAGAGTCTACCTGAGGTCACGTGGGGGAGTCAATCCTGAGATCACACAAGAGAGTCCACTTGAGGTCACACAAGAGAGTCCACCGAGGTCACACAAGAGAGTCGACCTTGAGGTCAGTCACACAAGACAGTCAACCCTGAGGTCACACAAGAGAGTCGACCCAAGGTCACACAAAAGAGTTGACCCAAGGTCAAATAAGAGTTGACCCTGAGGTCACACAGGAGAGTCCACCCTGAAGTCACAAAAGAAAGTTGACCCCAAGTTCACACAAGAGAGTTGACACACAATATAGTCAACCAATATAGTCAAGATCACACAATATAGTCAACCCTGAGGTCACACAAGAGAGTCAATTCTGAGGTCACACAGGGGAGTTGGCACAAGGTCACACAAGAGAGTTGGCCCCAACATCACACAAGATAATCCATCCCAGATGTCACACAAGAGAGTCGACCATGAGGACACACAAGAGAGTCAACTCCAAGGTCACACAAGAGAGAAAACCTTGAGGTCACACAAGAGAGTCGACCCCAAGGTCACACAGGGGAGTCCACCACGAAATCATACAGGGGAGTCTACCCCCATGTCACACAAAATAGTTGACCCCAAGGTCACACTAGAGAGACCACCCTAGAGGTCACACAAGAGAGTCAACCCTAGGTCACACAAGAGACTCAACCCTGAAGTCACACAGGAGAGTTGACCCTGAGGTCACACAAGAGTGTGTATCCAAGGTCACACAAGAGAGTCAACCCCAAGGTCACACAAAAGAGCCAACCCCAAGTTCACACAAGAGAGTCAACCCCAAGGTCACATAGGAGAAGCAGTCACAAAGTTACACAGGAAAGTCGAGCCTGAGGTCACACAGGAGAGTCAGCCCTGAGGCCACACAGGAAAGTCAACCCTGAGATCACACAGGAGAGAGTCAACCCTAAGGTCACACAAGAGAGTCAACCCTGAGGTCACATAGGGGAGTCAGCCCCCAAGTTACGCAGGAGAGTGGACCCCAAGGTCACACAAGGAAGTCTACCCCCAAGTTACACAGGAGAGTTGACCCTGAGGTCACACAATTGAGACAACCCCAAGGTCACACAAGGAAGTCTATCCCAAGGTCACACAGAAGAGTCAGCCCTGAGGTCACACAAGGGCATCGGCCCAAGGTCACACAGGAGAGTTGACCCAAGGTCATACAAGAGTTATAGCTCAAGGTCACTCACTCAAGGGAGTCAACCAAAGGTCACACAAGACAGTTGACCCCGAGGTCATGCAAGAGAGTTGACTCGAGGTCACACAAGAGTTGACTTCAAGGTCATACCAGACAGTTGACCCTGAGGTCACACAGGAGAGTTAACCCTAAGGTCACACAAGAGAGTCAACCCCAAAGTTACACAAGACAGTCAACCCCAAGGTCACACAGACGAGTCAGCCATAAGGTCAAACAGGAGAGTCAACCCTGAGGTCACACTGGAGAGTCATCCCTGAGATCACACAGGAGAGAGTTGATTCTGAGGTCACACAAGAGAGTCTACCCCAAGGTCACATAGGGGAGTTGGATCCCAAGTTATACAAGAAAGTTGACCCCAAGGTGACACAAGGGAGTCGATCCCAAGGTCACATAGGAGAGTCAGACACAAGGTCACACAGGGGAGTTGAGCCTGAGGTCACACAGGAGAGTCAGCCCTGAGGTCACATAAGAGAGTTGACCTTGAGGTCACACAGGAGAGCAGACCCTGAGGTCACACAGGAGAGAGTTGATCCTGAGGTCATGCAAGAGAGTCAACCTTGAGGTCACACATGGGCGTTGGTCCTCAAGTTACACAGGAGAGTGGACCCCAAGGTCACACAGGAGAGTCCACCCCCAAGTTACACAGAACAGTTGACCCTGAGGTCACACAAGAGAGATGACCCCAAGGTCACAAAAGGAAGTTGACCCTGAGGTCACACAGGGGAGTTCATCTCCAAGTCACACAAGAGAGTCAACCCGAGGTCACACAGGAGTTTCAACTCGAGGCCACACAAAGGAGCCAACACAAAGTCACACAAGAGAATTGACACTGAGGTCACACAGGAGAGTTGACCTGAGGTCACACAAGAGTTGGCCCCGAGGTCACACTAGATAGCCGACCTGAGGTCACACAAGAAAGTCGACCCTGAGGTCACATAGGGGAGTCAACCCTGACATTACACAGGGGAGTCAACTCTGAGGTCACATAGTGGAGTTGACTCTGAGATCACACAGGGGAGTTCGACTTTGCGGTCACACAGGGGAGTTCCCCCCAGAGGTCACACAGGAGAGTCGACCCCAGAAGTCACACAGCAGATTTGACCCCAGAGGTCACACAGGAAAGTTGACTCCAAGTTCACAAAGGAGAGTGGACCCCAGAGGTCACACAGGGGAGTTGATCCTGAGGCCACACAGAGCAGCTCAGCAGAGGAGGCACATCTGGTCTGTCTAGTGAGGCACTAGACAGTTGTCAAGAGATTTTACCTCTGAGAACACAGGGCTCAGTGTGTCACATGGTGGGTCACAAGAGCACGTCACACGTGACTCCCCTCCACACAACACCCCACCCGCAGGCATCTCTTCTGTTCTCACATGAAAACACAGGGAGATCATGGATGGCACAGATAGTGAGGTGTTGACTACCTTCATGTGGCACAACTAGAGTGAATGTTCTTTTCTGTGTTTTTATGTATTTTCCAAAAATTTTGGCACTTTTCATTAGGATAAAAACCCAGTGCTTTTTCCAGACACTACTCTATGATGGCATCTGTGTGGCATGGGCCCCATGCCCCAAGTCCCTGAACCCCCATGCCTCACGCCCCCTCACCCCCAAACCTCACACCCTCTCTCCCTCACACCCCCTCATGCTGTGCCCCTCACCCACCTATGGGGCAGCTCCTCTTGTTGCACATCTGGCGCTCCTGCACATCCCCCACGCAGGCCTTCCCTCCGTGCTGAGGCTCGGGGCTGTTGCAGACGCGCGTGCGCTCCCGGATGCCCCCAGCGCAAGTGACAGTGCAGGCTGACCATGGCGACCAGGGGCTCCAGCGGCCATCAACTGCAGAAAGAGGCCAGCAAGGGGCTCAGCACAGGGCAACAGGTGGGAGCAAGCATGGCTGGGCCAACTCGAGGGAGGGTGGAGGTTGGGGAAGCAAGTTCTCCCCACACAGGTCAGAGGGTGACTGCACGAGTGTCCCTGCCCACAGATGCAGGGGTGGCGTGGCAACAGGATTTTTGACATCCCCTTACACCTGAACACTCAGAGTTCCTCCCTGGGTTGCACCCCCACAGTCTCAGAGTGGAAGCTAGTGTGAAACTGAACTTCACTGTAACGTCCCCAAGGGTCACAGACATGCCCCGGCAATAAAGGCCATCGCCCACCCTCATTCTCCCAATGTTAGTATGCATCATGAATTGCACCTTCCTAGAAGCCCCTTGCTAAGCCACACATGTCCCTGTGCCTCCCTGGGAAGCCCCTGGGCTCTGAGCCACATGTGTCCCCAATGCCAGCTCGCCCGGGCTCAGGGACAAGATGTTTTTAGCACTCCACATTCCAGGCATTAAGTCTTCCCAGGCCGAGAACCTTCCCATGACTGTACACAGTTCTGGCTGTTTTTCCCTTGAACAGTAGATTACTGGTGACTTAACTACAGTTTGTGCTGACCACAGTGAAACAGGGCCGACTCAAGCCAGGACAGTGCCGAGCCCAGGTGAGGGCATTTGTCCCAGAGGACTCATCCAGAAATGAGCAGGCCCAGCTGGTGGGCCCCTCACCTTTGGGCTGGTCACTGCACCAGGCAGAGCCGGGACAGGCCTGGTCCAAGCCAACCCCAGACATGGCGGCTCATTCTGAGGTCGCTGGGCCCGCCGGGTTGCCCTCCCCTACTTACCAGGGCAGGGGACGCCCTGGCAGGCCTTGGTCTCTCGGCCACTCCCCTTGCAGTTCCTGCCCCCCATCTGGGGCACCGGAGAGTTGCAGAGGCGGATGCGTGTGATGTTGCCAACGCCACAGGTCGCAGAGCACGAAGACCAGGGTGACCAGTGGCTCCAGCCACCGTCCTGCCGGACTAAGAGGGAAAGGCACAGAGATCAGCAACCAGGCTGCGGCCAGGGGGCTGAGCTCACACCAGCATCTGCCATCCTAATTCACATTTCAAGCTGGAAGGGAATGGGAACCCCAGCCGCTACCCCCCACCCCACAGGAGCCTTCCGGTCGATCACCGTCAATCAGCAGCTCCGTCCATGCAAATGACCCAAATGGCCCAGATGCCCACCACCCCCACAGGCACGGGGACCAGGTCCCCGACACTCACAGCGGGTGTCACACTTGCTCAAGCTGCACGCCCGAGTCTGGATGGAGGGCCCCAAGCAGGTGTTGCTGGTGACATCGCACGACCGGCCCCTCTGCTGAGTTCCCGAGCCACACGTGACGGAACATTCCGTCCACTCTGCCCACGGAGACCAGCCCTCCTCACTGTCTATCGCTGGTGGAGGAAACAAACAGCAATGTCAGGCCCTGTCTCACTGACATGCCACAGGACAGAACAGGGACTCGGCAAGCCAGTGTGGGGTCGGGCTCAGGTACCAACATCGGAATAAGTCACTTGCCAACAGGTAGGGAAGGGTGGCCTAGCCTGGGCAGAGGCTCCAAGTGACCACGTCTGCATCCTCGCAGGTGCCCATGGCAGCCTTCCAAGGCATCAACTGTCTGAGCTGAGGAGCATTTAGTTCATGTGAACAGAAAAGTCATCTAATGGATTTTAAAGAAAGCTTACAGAAGAGAATGCTAGATCTCTCTTCACGAAGGCTTCATGAAGTTTACTGTGGATTTCATTTACTTCCATTTTAACCTTCGCTGATTTGCATAAGGTAGAGAAACATTTCAATTACTGGTGAAAATACAAGTCACTTAATTTATTTCCAAATAATCTAAATTGAGACAAACTAAATAAAAAAGTAGCTCCCTGCAAAGAAATTCCTCACAGGTAATTACAGTCCCTAAATGAGGGGAAAGACAGTAACACAATACAAGAGATCCTTCAGCAGTTAGCAAAAGACAAACCCTATGAAGGTGTTCCAGAAAGCAGGGAAAAGAATGGTCCGGAAGGCCTCTTTTTGCAACGTCACACTCTTGATAACATAAAATGTCCCCTCTTGTCTAATGCAAGCCTGAGGCTATCAAAATCACATGTTTGTGTTGTGCAACGGGAAACCCGACTTTGTAGATGTCGGACGCTCTCATGTACGCTGGACTGCTTATCTTGATTATCAGATCAACCTTGTGTATTAGGGATCATTTTTCTGCATCTTACAGATAATACATCTGAAACTCAGAAAAATCACACTTGTTGAAAATCACAGAGAGTCAGAGCTGGAGTCAGAAACCCATTCTCTGTCCACAGCTGGAGGGCAGACATCCTGAGGGTGATCCAGGCTCAGGGGACCAGAGGAACATTCTGGGAAAGTTTGGGAAATGGTGAGGGACCAGTTTACTGTGGAAGCAGCATCACATGTGCTCAGTGCAGCAGCAACTTGGGGTGTGGACCTGAGACATATGGCCAATGGTGCTGGCACCAGGGAGCCACTGCCAGGTCAGGAGCATGGGGCACCAACAGAGCTGACCTTGGAAGGACAGCTCTAGGCAGGTGTAGGGGTACAGCAGCCTTGCGGCCAGCTCATTCTTTCAAAGTGCACTGACTGTTCATGGCGTCCACGAACCCCAGGAATATGGACAGCCAGTCTCCTGCCCTCAAGGCCAGCCTCTGTTTCTTGCAAGGTGTTTCCATGTCTCTGGATATATCACTTGGGCTGCAGCTTTGGTTTTTGTTTAGTTCCTGTTGCTGTTTTCCCACAAGGATTGTTTACATTGATCCCTCACTATTGTGATGCAGCCACTAATCAGAGCCATGTTCTGTCTCGTGTCTGGTATTTACATCAGGGACTCACCCTGGGCCAAAAAGTTGAGATTCCTAACATGCAAGTCCCCAGCTCTGCTTCCTCCTCTGAGACAGCATGGGCAGGACACAGCCCATCCACCCCTGAGTTCCCAGGACTCCCAGGCCCTCTGGTCATTCCTCAGTTATTAATGACCAGGTCCCTCTCCTGTCAAAGGGATCTGAGCTTCACCCCTCTCTGCCAAAATCAGCAGACGCATAAGTAAACAAACAGCAAGGAGTTCCTGGAGACAGCAACCTGGGGATGCTCACCATGGAGGCAGGAGGGGCAGCACTCTCCTTCTGCAAAGGACGGGTTGGCACAGGTGGCTGGTGGGCAGGTGATTTGGTGGCAAATGGTCTTAAATTTCTGTAAGTGAAGACAGGCACTCATGGGACACGCATTTGGACACAGGAGGCTTTGGGACAGGCGCCAACCCGCATGCCTACTCTCCACCCCACAGCCGAACATTACACCCAGGGATGCAGAACAAAGTAGCCTTCCCCCATTCGTGCTGAGAACCCCCTGTGGATGGGCCCCACACACCCATGAGCCCGTTTTGCCCCTGTCTCCCATTACGGAGGAACGAGAGCACAACAGGGAGCTCCCAGGCATCTGGCGGAGGGAAGAAAGAAGGACCTTGTGCCTGTGTCTTCCAACGTCTGAGGCAGTATCAACAGAAACAGAACAACACTAAGTAAGGAGGAGAGAGTCAACCATCTACAAGATGCTGGGTAGTGGCTTCACTCCTCTGACATGTCTTCCCGGCCTCAAGTTCCCCTCCCCCTCCCGAACCAAACGAGGCTGAACACAAGCAGAGCCATGTCCGGCTTCTGTCCCTGCTCTGTTTCCAGCCACCTGGTGACCTGGCCAAGTTGCTCCTCGCTGCGGGTCTTGGTTTCTCTATGTGCAAACAAAGGGGTTAGTCTATGGCACCCTCACGGTTCATGGTCCATCCATGACTCTGACCCCTGGTTTCCTCACATGTCTGAGTGGGTTCACACGTCACACGAGCATCCCCATTCCCGAGGCTGGACTCAACCAAGCGTGCCTGCGGGGCTTTACCTTGCAGGTGCACTTGGTGCAGCTGTCCACCACCCACGTCTCATTCTCTGCAAAGAACCGACCATCCTGCCAGCACGCTGACATGTTCCTCGTCTTCGGGGGGCCACCGATGAGCTCCCAGAGGAACTGGTTATCGTTTGACTGGAAAACCAAGTTGAATATTTCAGTATACACAAGAATATAGCTGGACACGGTGGCTCACACCTGTAATCCCAGCACTTTGGGAGGCCACAATGGGAGAATTGCTTGAGCCCAGGAGTTTGAGACCAGCCTGGGCAACATAGTGAGACCTCCTCTACAAAAAGGCATGGTGGCATGTACCTATAGTCCCAGCAACTCAGAAGGCTGAGGAGGGAGGATCACTTGAGCCCCCCAGGAGGTGGAGGCTGCAGTGAACTATGATCATGTCACTGCACTCCAGCCTGGGCAAAAGAATGACACCCTGCCTCAAAAAATAACAAAACAAAACAATAGAAAGCAGCACAAGACCGCAACACATTCGGTCATCATGGTTGTGAATGAAAAAGAATGTTCCTCCCTAGCTAAAGCCAGCAGAATGAACCAAGGGTGCAGGAAACCCTGCATCAAAACAGTGGCACCTCATAAAGGTAGGTGGCATTCAAATCCACATGCAACCTTGTGGCGTAGACCCACACTGAAGGAGCACAGCCACCCACAGGCCCTGCTGTTCCCTCTCCCCCACTCACTTGTAAGTGTCTAATAACACAGACCCTGGAACACTCACTGCCTTTCCATGTGATGTGGTGAGTCCCCTACCTGAGGTGGCCGAGCCTCCCTGGATGAGGGCAGGGGAAGGAGGAGGAACAGGCAGGTGGACAGGAAGGCAGGAGGGGTCCACAGCAACAGAACACCATGTCACCCATGAGCCACCCATTCCTCCTTCCATCCCCACACATGACAGGTGCTGCTCTGACAATGGCAAGAAAGATGACAGTTCTGGTTGTCCCAGGGTGGCAGATGAAAAAAAAGGCATGAAGCTTAAAAATTCAAGTGAAAAGTGCCCCCAACATGCTCACACATGAGTTTAGGATGGGACTATGTGTCCACCTTTTCTCTCACATGGTGACTGCTAACCTGGGGTAACAGTGCATTTGAGAGGCTGATGATTCACACATGGTCTTGCACAGAATGCATGAACCACGTCCATCGAATTGTTGCACAGTTTCATGGAGTTCACAAATATCCTCCATCTCCAACTCCTGGTTAAGCAGCCTGGTCCTAGTTGCTCATTTAATTTGAGATGGAGAAACTGCCCGGCCCTCCCCCTTCCTGAGCCCTCTGTCCAGGCCAGCAGGGATACCGTGCCTACAGCAACCACAGAAGCAGCCTGGGATTAAAGCCGACCCCGGCCAGTAAGGCCTGCATCCATGAGAGGGGCAAGGGCACACCCGTGCCAGGAGGGAGGGGATGCCTACAAGGAGGCTGCCCATGAGGGTCATCTCAGGATGCCTTAGGAGTGGCCATTTCCCCCTTGTGCATGGCAGGAACCTTGAGCAAGTCTGAGCAGATGGGCAGGCCAGAGCTGCCATTGCATCTGCCTCCCAGGGCGATCCCAATGACACATCCCTGGAGGAATGTTCCCGAAGCTGCCTTCCATCCTCTGGGTGCTGCCTGGGTCAGCTCCTCAGTCTTTGCTGCTGAGTGGGTTTGGGGCACCCCTTTCACCTGCCCCCAAAAGGGGTGGAATTGTGCCAGTCCCAGCACTCCTGGGCCCAGTCGGAGCATGGTGGGGATACCTTCATGTGGGGACAGGTGGAATCAGGTAAGGATAAGATCTGGAGCAACAGGCTCAAGAACAGGCAGAGCCTCAGAGCCAGAGTCTCCTGTCCTCCCTGGCCTCCCTTCTGGCCTCATTCATCCTTGTCCTCTGGGTGTGAGTCACTGTTGCCATTCCCACACCCTGACGGAGCCACCTGGACCTTATGGGGCAGTGTGGCCCAGAGACACTCATGACATTTGGTTCCCTCGTCCAGACCAAACCTAACCTACAGCCTCAAGGCTCCTCTCTCTTCCCACACACTCTGCAGACATGCCCGACTTGCAGCAGCCAGGGTTGTATCCAGCCTCTAGGGACAGTCTGCACATCCCAGACCTCTCAGACTATGCCTCCACACCCCATCTTCATGTAGCATCGCTTCCCCTGCAGAGATGTGTATACACAGACTCCCGTGTGTCTGTTTACCAAGGAGATAAATTTCCCATACTAAGTCTCTGTTTGGAGAACGCACTTCTCCTTATTCTCCTTCAGATCCTTCCTAATGCCCATCCCGCCTCCCTCTAACCACGCAGGGCAATAAGCGAGTGTCCTGCAAGTGCCAGGCACTACACCGTCCCGGGGGACATTCAGAGGAGCACAGTACATTTCTGACCCTGCAAGGTCCCCACCCAGGCACCCACCACTTTCCTGAGGTTCTCGCCGAGCTGAGTCACGAGGAGGCGCAGCCCAGAGAGCTCGCTGACCATGTTGCCCAGCTCCTCACAGGAGCGCTGGCACACCTCCGGCCTCGGCACACTAGGACCCACGTACTCTGTGGCCACGTGGGGGCTCAGGTGCAGTGTCTCTGTGTTCTCACTGATGGCGTTGATCTCAACTGCGGGCAAGACACAGGGATGTGAGAGGACGGCCGAGGGCCACATGACCTGGAACCTGAGTCAGGTGGCCTGGGTTGGGTCTGCGTGGGCTGCTGGAGAGGCCGCAGGCCAAGAGACACCCAAGAGCAGGAAGGAGGGCTGAGGTGGCTGTTTCCAGAGACAAATGGAGCACAGCAGAGGACTCACTTCAAATAGACAAACGCACAGAGCACCAGAGACCCACCCTGTCTGAACACACACGGACAGCATCCAATGGGGGGGGGGGCTTCTTGCCTTTCTCACCTCACCTCTCCTCCTGTCCAGCCCCCGTCCAATCCTAATTATTCGACAGCACATCCCTGCATCCTCTGGCTCCTGTTGGCCCTCCTTCCATCCCCAAATGCCTTCCTTGCAGTTCCTTTTTCTGCATTCTAGCACCTTCAGTCATGCTTGTGCTCAGAGTCCCCTGCAGACCCTATCTCCTCGACTCTGCCTGCCGGTTGCTCCCCATTGCCTGGACACATCCTTCCCTGAAGGGATGGTGGGCACCACGAGTCCCACCGACCACCAGACTCTTTCAGCCTACCGGAATCACACAGACCCTGGGAAGCTCTAGTCCGTGGGATATGTGTGTGACATGTGATTTACAGAACCAGTAGCCACCCTCAGGGACTGGCACGGCAGGGGCTATAGCCAGAGCTGTTCCTGTTGATTGATTCACTATTCTTTTATCTTATTCAGTCACATCCATCCTCCAGGTTCCTCTCAGGGGTGATTATCACATATTTAAAATGCTTCTTTTTTTAGTCATTCCATTTTTTAGTTTTTACATGCAAATTTTACAATTCTGTAAGCTTTTTATTTTGAGTATTTATGACTTGGTTATAAACCTTGCTGAAATTCACATTAAGCTTTGGCGTGTCCCCTCAGATCCATTATGCCTATAACCATATTTAAGCATGTAAACATAAACATTAATAATTATATAGACACGTATGTTATATATACATGTACACACACATAGATTTCACTCAGCACGCTTCCTGACATGTATTTAAGAGGCATCTTTACTTTCCCAGGAAATGTCCTTTCTGTCCTGTGACCTTTTGCAGGAGCCAGTCTGTGCCTTTGGGCACAGCTTGCTCCACCTTGGTTGTGACTCTGGCTTCCCCTTCGCCGGCACCCCAGGCTTCTGCCAATGCTCCCAGTTTTGAAATACCATGGCCTGGCCCCTCCACAAGGTCACTCATTTTTAGCCAACAGTAAGAAAGGCTGTGCCAGTACCAAACACCAATTCACAAGCTAGCTGCTCCATAAGGCTGGTTTTCCTTGAGTCCAACATGAGCAGTGAAGAACTGCCTTAAAGGACAACAGCGGCTTAAAGGACAGCTGCTTCCAGGAGAGAGACTCCTGGTTGTGGTCGTGTAGTGTCAGACAGGTTCATTCATGTGGATTCATACTTACTCTACGTCTAGAGATCTCAAACTTGGATTTCTGAGTAAGTCTGTTTTTTAAGAGGTTCTAAGTGCTTCCCATCATTTGTAAATGTTTGCTTTAATCATTACAGGGATTCCTGACTTCTAGCTCTGAGCCTGGGAAGCATCCATGCAAGGGCATTCACTGTGAGGACATGTGTTGGCCAGAACAAACACGATGGCACTTGCTTCATTTGGTTGTGAATTGTGCCTGTCACAGGAGGCTAATTTTACCCCCGACAATGTGACAACTGTCTCAACATACCACAGACAACCCAGTTCTAGTTTAACTCAGTCCACATCAAATTATGGAACAAATCTGTAACTAGAAGCTGCTAAAAATATGTTTTCTCTTCATAAAAACAGCATTTGTGTATATTCATGGAAACACACACACACATGTATACACTAGTAGGGATTTAAGTAAAAATACTTGAATAAAATACATTTGTCATCTTTGGGTCAGCTCAGATATGTCAATATCTGAAAATGGGATAATATTTTTGGGTTACTAAAAATTATTTTAAATTAATTCTTTAAGCAACTCATCATTTTCAGATACTGACATGTCTAAGCTGACCAATAACTCACTTAAAGACAGCGAAGGTAACTTATTCAAGTATTTTTACTGGAATCCCTCTGGGACCCCGTGCACACATGCACACCATGTCATGTCAAAAACCCACCCAAGACAGGAAATTAAATACATTGCACAAAGCACACCTACCTCCTTGGTCTTGCTGACAGCCTTTCTTACTTAGAATATCTTCCACGGAATTTTCAAAAACTAAGTGGACATTCTGAAGCAAACCCTGTAAATACACACAAGGAGAGAAATAGAGCAGCAGTCAAACTTCAAAGGTTTGTTACCAAGCCAAAAGACATTTTAGAAATACCAAACGGAATTTGCAAAACAGTAAGAATGTTTTCTTCTATGTAGCAGATTTTCCTGCATATGCTACTTTTGAAACTTTGTTTTTAAAAGAAGTGAGATTTAATATTACAAGCTTACCAAGAAAAGAAGAAACTGTTCCATAGAAAGGAAAGAGGATGGTCCTAGGAGGGGCAACACATACTGCTTTGGAAGACATTCGAGGCCACTCTTCCCTGGCAGGCGGCTAGTATCACTGGTGCTCCTGCATGTGGCTAAATGGTCCAGTCTACAGGAGCGCCTTCCCAGGGGCATGGGCAGTCACCCCACTGGGGGCTCAGGTCAACCCTGCACAGCCACGCAAGCTCCCAGACAGTCACGCAGGATCTGTTCAACAAGCTGCCTGTCTCTAGGCCTTTCGCTCAGAGCACTGAGTTTAAAGCCATATGTATTTCCAAGAATGGACACACGTCTAGAGAGCAATGCCCTCAAGCTCCACTGCAGATGCTAAACGCTTGTGGTTCAAATGGGCTTGAACTGAGATGGACGTGAAACGATCGCCTCGTAACTGATAGCCCTTGCCTTGGGAAAAGACAGTTGTTAACTGGCCCTCCCAGCAGTGACCACCGAAACAAAAAGTCAGCATGGATTCAGCTGCAGTGAAAGGAGTCTGGGGTTGCCAGAAACATTTGAAGGGGGTTGAGTCTTTGATCATAACTCCAATCCCCAATTTCCACCAACAACCAGCCATGCAGGTGAGGAAGCACACCTGTGACAGCTTTCTCTGCCTAGTCATGACCTGGAAAGGTATGTGTGTGTGTGTATGTGTGTTTGTGTGTGTGAAAGTGTGACTATATGTGTGAATGTGTGTGTGCTTGTAACTGAGTATCTGTGGGCATTGTGTATGGACATGTGTGCATGTGTGGTGTTTGTGTGTAGGCATGTGTGGGTGTATTGTGAGCATGAATGTGTGGTTCTGTGTGTGCATCTTTGAGGCATGTGTATGTGTTGGGTGTACACGTGTGGAGTGTGATGCATGTATGATGTTTATGTATGTGCATGTGTATGCCTGTATGTGGTGTTTGTGCATGAGAATATGCATGTGTTAGTGTTTGTATATGTTCACAGGGATGTGTGTGTGTTATGCACCATGTGTATGGGTGTGTGGTATGTGGTGTGTTGTGTGTGCACCTGCAGGTGATGTGTGCAGTGTGCAAGCATGTGTGTGAGCTGGCAGTGTGCTGCTCCAAGCCAGACTGGACCTGCTGAGAAGAGCCCTACATGACTAGATGTAGCACATGTCAACCCAGCAGAGTCTTCCTTCCTCCAGCGCCCATGAACATACCCGGAAATGGGTCTCTGGGCAGGGCCTCTGGTCACTGACACCCACACCCACAAATCCACCAGGAAGTGGCTCTCTCAGGCAGCACCGTCGGCCACGTGCATCCCACCCCCTGGGGGACATACCCAGAAGTGCTCTTTCCAGCAAATCCCTTGGCTGCATTCCATGCCCCACATGTACCCACAAGTGGCTCTCGTGGGAAGCCCCCTTGGCCATGGCCACCCTGTGCCTACAAACCCACCAGGAAATGGCTCTCTCCTGCACAGCTCTTGGCCATGGCCACCTCATGCCCCAGACATACCCGAAAGTGGCTCTCTCGGGCAGCACCCTTGGCCACGTACATCCTGCTCTTGTCTGCCTGCAGGTGCTCATAGAAGGGCTCATCCAGCGTGAAGCTGTCAATGAGGTCACAGCCCACATGTAGGCTATAGGTCTCGCCTGCCACCTGCACGGTGATATTCTTCCACTGGCCATCGGCCAGGCCCACGTCCTCCAGTGACAGGATGTGCGGGGTGCCGTCCACCCAGTAGGTGAGGTCCAGGGTGTCTGCGGGGCCATTGGAGACAATCTCGAACTGCCGCTGCGCAGTGCCAGGGCCATCCAGGGCCAGTAGCGTACCCCTGGACTTGCGGTCCTGCTTGAGCTGGGCTGTGAGGAAGAAGCCCTCCCTCTGCCTCATGACCTTGGCGATCTGGCTGAGCACGTCGGCGTTCACTGGTGGGATGTAGTCAAACCGAACGAAGCGGTAGGCTGGCACACCGGGATCGGGCCCTCGGAACTGCTTGGCACCAATGGTCTTCCGGTTGATGTTGCTGATGCTGAAAAGGTCGAAGTACGCGTCTTCATCCTGGTTGCCAGCTGCCATGGGGAAGCACAGCAGGAGGGTCACTCACACCAGGGCGAGGCCACCAAGTTCAGGGTGACAAGACAACCTCCAGGGACACAAGTGAGGTCACCCTGCCTTTTGTCATTTCTCTCCCTTTCGTGTCAGGATGCCAACACTGTGTCTAGTGTAAACCCACTGCCCTCTGCCCCAGGGCTACCCCCTCGGAGCATGGCTGGTGTCAGGATGCCAACCCAACATCTTCTGTCCTAGGGCTACCCCTTGGAATGTGGTGGGGGTCAGGATGCCAACACAGCATCTGGTATAAACCCACTGTCCTCTGTCCCAGGGCTGCCCCTTGGAGTGTGGATGGTGTCAGGATAGCCACACTGTGTCTGGTGTAAACCCACTGTCCTCTACCCCAGGGCTGCCCCTCGGAGCAAGACTCATGTCAGAATGGCTATGCTGCATCTGGTGTAAACCCACTGTCCTCTACCCCAGGGCTGCCCCTCGGAGCACGACTCATGTCAGAATGGCTATGCTGCATCTGGTGTAAACCCACTGTCCTCTGTCCCAGGGCTACCCCCTCAGAGCATGGCTGGTGTCAGGATCCCAACACTGCATGTGATGTAAACTCACCATCCTCTGCCCCAGGGTTGCCCTAGGGCATGGGCCCAAAAATAGCTGCTGGGCCATAAGGACATCCCCACCACTGGCCAGCCAATAAGCGCGTGTCAGAAGGCACACCAGTGTCAGGAAGCACCTGTTTGTGCTGCTGCATTTCCACAGATTGACTTCATCAATGAAGGAAGCCAGGCTGGCACAGGCCTCACTGCTTGATGTTAAGCCACCCTCTCTCTCTGTTCTCCCACCCCAGGCCTGAGGCTGGAAAGCCTCCTTCCTCTCTACCGTTTGATTGCTCTGGGAAAAAAAAAACAGAAGACTAGGAAATAAATGGATCTTTAGCCTTGCTACTGATGGAGTTTCAGAAAGTCACTAAATTACACATGGCTTTCTTAGTGGGATCTTCTTTTAGTTAGTTAGTTGTTTGTTATTATGTTCGTTTCTTGTTATTTTGGGAAAATGTATTCTCCACCACATGCTGCATACCCAGTAAGGACAGAGAGAGTGACTGACCTCAAGTCTGCAAATGAATGGTTTCAAGTCACCGTCTTCACTATTGGCAAGACAAGTGATCAGACTTTACCAAAAGTATAGCAGTTTAAATAATTCAAAATAATACGCTGAATAGAAAGTTTAAATACAGTACAACTTTTCATTTAATATTAGACAAATTGAAGCATCATAACATACAGTGTTGCTGGTAGAAGTGTAAATTGCCACACTTTCCACAGAGCAATAATTAAAAGAATTAAAACCTCTGACTCAGCAATGATATTTTTGTAACTTATCCAATGAACATAATACACGTGCTAGTAAAGATTTAGTCACAACAAAATTCCTTGTGTCATCATTGATACTAATTAAAATAAAATAACAACCTAAGTGGAAATTGGTCTTAAAATATTGGCATTTATCTGTGATAGAATACTACACAGTCATCAAAATCAAGTTGTAAGCAGATATGGAAAAATATTTGATATCTGTATTTTACACAGAAAGATGAGAAAACACCTAATACTTGCACTGTTGTGAGTAAAATATATGAAAAAAGGCTGAACTACCCATGGCAAAATGCTGCATCTCCAGGTGGAAGGGCATTCTTCCCAATCACCTGGATTTTCCTAAGATAAAGTGTCTCATGTTCTACTGACTCAAATGTAAATAACTTTTATTTACAAAGGAGCTAAGAAGGTTCAGCAGGTTGGATTCTCTACCCACACACATGATTTCACATCCCTCACTCCTGGCCAAGCTGCATCTGACAAGCACAGGAGACCATGGGCCCAGTGGACACTCACCATGAGTGTGGGGCCACGTCCCCATGGCCAGCAGGACCAGTGCCCAGAGCATCCTGCCTCCTGTGCTTGACTCCTAGGAGTAAAGGAAACCTTGTTAGTTACAAATGCACAGTCGCAATTCTGAGTGCTCGTTCATGAGACCATTCAAAAACAGTTTGTATACAAAAATCAACAGTAAATGGATTTGTGGGAAGCCAAAGGCTATGTTGGAAATTCACTTTTGAGGCAGGATTCTTCCAACTAATATTTATGTGCCTGGTAATCATTGATGATCCCATTCTAAAAGTCATAGTACTTCCTCCTCATAATCCCCAAGGAGGACAGTGCGTGTGGGATTGTCCCCATTCTACAGATGAGCAAGTGGAAGATAGGCATGTTGAGTGCTCACCCAGAGTAGCTCTGCTAGGAAGACCTGTAGCCAGGACTAGGATCCAGGGAACTTGACTTTAGAAAAATATCCAGTCTAGCAAAAATACTTGTAAAGGCATTTTGTGTAAATGCCCAAGAAAAAAAAAACACTATGCATAACTTGATTAAATAGAATACACATTAACTACACATAAAGTTGGAGATAAATGTAGGCTGGTGCTTCGTGCAGAACAAAGAACATTTTCCTTGGCAGGAGATTCGACCCCACGCGTCTACCCTCCCCTCTGCCTGTTTTCCCTTCTTGGGGATGTCCAATGGGCACAGCTCCACAGAGCCTGGACCAAGAGTCAGCAGACCTGGATGAAAGCCTGGGAGCCGGGTTCACATTAACCCCTTGGTCTCCACTTCCTTGTCCTATGAGGGAGCATGTGTGACAGCCAGCTCTGCAGTCCCTTCCGAGGTTCACATCCTGCTCTTGGTGGAGTCCAATCAGAGACCCCATCCCTCACACGATGAGACTATCAAAGCATCTTATTGTTGCAGAAATCCAAGCACTCTCCCTCTCCAGAGCATTTGGCAACCTGGAAATAGCCCCTTTCAGGAATGGAGAAATGAATGTTCCTAAAGGAAGGAGAGAACTCAATGGCCCCCAGGCTCCTCCTAGACTTGCTTCACACAGGGCTACACATGGGGGTAGTTACTGATTGGTTTACACATCGCTGCAGGCAGCAGCACTGCCAGCCCCAGCATTTGCACCCAGACTAGTTCTGTGGAGCACCAGCTCTGCACTCCAGGACACCTTGTCCAACCTATCTCAGCCTCCTCATCTGAAGAATGAAACAGACATGTATTTAGAATATCCACCTCAGAGGGCTGTTATGAGAAGCACATTCGATAAGACTGTCCATAATGTGCCATCAAGCACAGTCTGTGCCAGGCCTGGGAAGCAGGCTGTATCTGGAATGTGTCCACTCCAGAGTACCAAGGTGGTAGCAGGAATATCAGTGATATCGTTAAAGGGACCTTTTCAATGGGTTTTTAAGAGGATTCGATAACAAGAGTAAACACTTGCCATGTACTTAGAATAGTCCTGCTCACAGTAAACCCTACAGAGGCTTCAGAATTGCAGCAGGCAGGTGCAATGTCTTCCCAGCCTGCATCACTGGGCCAGATGTGGCCATCTGTCCCCACCTGATCCTCCCTGTAATCACGATCACCTATGGACAGTAGGTGATGCTGGCTCTAGAGTGGCATGCCCCATCCAAAAAAAGTCAATGTTTAAGTCTGGATGCCATGCCAGGCTTCATGATGACAGGCTTGAAGAGTGCAGAGATGCCATTTGACACATCAAATCCTGCTCTGCCTCTCACCTGAAGTGTCCTCCAAAAAAAAAAAAACGGTAGGAGTGTAACAAAGTATCTGCCCCTTCTATCAAAGTATCAGCCCTCTCCTACCAAAGCATCAATGTTTCCTAACAAAATATCAACCTCTGCTAAGAAAACATCAGCCTCTCCTACCAAAGTATCAGCCTCCTCCTAACAAAGTATCAGTTCTCACTTGACAAAGTATCAATCCCCAAAAAAAGTATCAGCCCTCTCCTACCAAAGTATCAGCCTGCTCCTACCAAAGTATCAGCTTTTCCTAACAAAATATCAGCCTCTGCTAAAAAAAAGTATCAGCCTCTCCTACCAAAGTATCAGCCTCTTCTGACAAACCATCAGTCTCTAGCAAGGTATAAGCCCCCTCCTAAAAAAGTATCAGCCTCTCTTAACAAAGTATCAACATCCTCCTACCAAAGTATTAGCCCCCTTCTACTAAAGTATCAGCTCTCTCCTACCAAAGTATCAGCCCTCTCCTAACAAAGTATTAGTCATCTTCTATTTTTCAAAGGAGTGATGTATGTGATGTGTGTCCATCTTTTCTCATGGGAACAAAACAGAAAAAGAAAAGGAGCAGAGAAAGAATGTCTTCCTTAGGACAGACTCTCCTCATCTTTGACTTGAGGAGGAGATCAAAGCCCTGACATGTGAGTACACATCACACCTGTGCAGAGCCTCTCTTTACTCCACACATTTATGTCAATGGTGATATTTTTCCAAAAGAAGTATTTCCCATGCATGACTTCAACAAAATGCAATTTGAATTTACAAAGGGATTTTAAAATTATTTTTATATGAGCAACCAAAGCAAATGATACATTTGCTGAGAGATACTAATCTACCCTGCACACAGCATGCTAACACCAAGATCCTACACCCAGCTCAGCCTCCGGTCTGGGTCACCAAAAATCCAAGCCCTGCACACTGCCAGCTCACTCTCATGTGCAAAGTATCCCCAAACTCCAAATATTAACTGTATTCTCTGGCAGCCATAGCACTTCTTATAAAATTACTATAAATGACTTATTGGTAACAAAGTTCTCTTTCAGCTATTAATAACGTTTAGAGCCAGAATCCCTATAATCTCTCTGAGTATTCTTCAGATTCCCAAGGAACTCTCTCCAGTTCCTCCCTTACTGTCCCTCCTTGACAGTCAGCTATCATGTGGAAGCCTCTCATTCTGAAGCTGAAACACAAGTGTCTCCTCAGATTCCTGGGCAGGCTCAAAGCATTAAAATAGCAGCGCCTATCTAGGAGCAAGTGCAGGAAAGGTGAATGCTCACCACTGCAAACAAAACAGCCAAAGTGAGCTTACCTGCCCAATCCTTCCATCAAGTAGTAAAAACACCACATGAGGGAACTTGCTGTTATGGGTTGATGGATGGATCTCCCACCTTAAATTAAGAATCTATATTGCACTTTATCTCCCTTCTTAGAAATCAAGAGATTTTTCTGAAAATTATAACGCAATGAAATGATTTAGTCAATTTAAGAAATAATCTTACTTGGTATATGGAAGATATAGTGGCGCCTGGTTTCAATGTTCCAAACGGAGTCCAGAAAGAGTCAGCTGAAAAGGAGGAGGAAGCAGCCGCCCCACCAGCAGGGGCTCCAGATGGATGTGGCCTCACCGGCCCCAGCTGCAGCTGCGGCTTTATACACTCTGGGTCCTGTGCGGGGCTGTCAATCAGACACACAAGGAAGTACATTTAATTCATTCCTTCGAGGGAATGACATAATCCCTCCTTCTGCTCCCACCATTTGCTGAGTACCTGCTGCATGGTCCAAGTCCAGCCTCTCTGTGCTGGACTCCCCCTCCCCATCCACCCAATCCGCCAGACAGGACGGGGCGGAGCCAGACCAGAGGGAAAGCAGGGACACACTTTTCCTGTCTTCTCTCAGGAAATAAAATGCTATAAATAACACCAGCAGGATTGGCTAGAGATCCCCGTTTTGCTTAAGAGGAAAAAAAAATGCAAGTTCTATGCTTTAAATATGTTTTGAATTACTCGAAAGAATACGACTGTTTCTAAACCAAATATGAGGCAATCAATAAAACACAAAAAATATCAATGGGTGTGAATGATTATTGTGCCTATTGATGAAGCTACTAGAGTAAATGAATTTTAACATGTGCAAAAATGACATCTAATCTAAAAGAAAGCTGTCTAACTTTATCTCAGCAGTTAAAACACTGAGAAGCCACACTGCAGCTTTTGGATGATTAATTTTCATCTAGATCCTGCTTCACATTGCAGCAAGGATCCTCCAGAACAATATCTCCTTGAGGGTGTTGATCACCTGCCCAGGTCCACAAGGGACACACTCTGCATTGGACAGGAGAAGCCCAATTGCAGGGGAATATCAGGAGTAGGTGGCACAGAAAGGGATCAGGAGAGGCAAAAGCAGTGGCAGCAGCCAGCATTCCACCCCTCCCCAACCCATGACCCCTGAAAGGCAGACTCATGGAACACAGTGCACAGAGGAGCAGGGTGTATCACCAGGGTCAGGGTGGAGGATGAACAGAGGGGAGGGGTCCCATCACCAGGGTAATGGTGCAGGGAAAGAGGGGGAGGGGGTCACATCCCCAGAGTCAGGATGGAAGGAGGGGAGTGGAAGGGTCACATCACCAGGTCAGGGTAGAGGGAGGGGAGATCACATCACCAGAGTCAGGGTGGAGGGAGGGGAGGGAAGGGGTCACCTCACCAGAGTCAGGGTGGAGGGCGGACAGAGGGGAGGGAGCCCACCACCAGGGTGATGGTGGAGGGAGAGAGATGGGGAGGGGTCACCAGGGTCGGAGTGGAGGGAGGGGAGGGGAGGGGAGGGATCACATCAACAGCATCAGGGTGGACGGAGGGGTCACATCACCCAACACGACCTGTAGAGTCTTGATCTGTCACCCTTCCCCAAGGGGAGCTTGGTGTTATTCTTCCTTGATGGCCTCTCAGTATGACATCATGTATTAACTACAGGACATGGCAAATAATTTGCATGGAGATGTCAACAGTTCCCGTGGCTTTGGTAGAGGAGTATCCGTGACCCGTCCTGGCATTCTGTACCCTTGGATTCTGTACCCTTGGATTCATATGAAGTGGGAACCGCACAGTGACAGCAGTTCCCACTCAGGGGGAGAGCCTCGCTGCTTCCACCAGTCTCCATGTGTCAGGGTGGAAGGAGGGAGAGGAGAGAAGTCACACCAGCGGGGTCGGGGTGGAGAGAAGGGACAGGTCACATCAAGAGTGTCAATGTGGACAGAGGGGAAAGAGGGATGTGGTGTGTGAGAAGAGGGGTGGGGCTGGAAGGG